TAATAGGATTATTTGTCTTTCTGTTGTAGGGTGTGTCAACTGATTTTTGACAAGGGTGCTAAGTCCATTCAATGGGGAAAGAAGAGTCTCATCAATAAATCATGCTGGGAAAATTCAATTTCCACATGCAGAAAAATGAAACAGGATCCATGCCTCACAGCATTCACAAAAACAAAGTCAAAATGGATTAAGGGCCTAAATGTACAAGCTAAATCCATAAAATTCTCAGAAGAACAAGCAGGGGAAATGCTGTCAGACCTAGCTTTCAACAGTGGATTATCTAATATAACAAAAGCACAAACAGCAAAACACAAAATAAATAAATGGGACCTTATAAAAATTAAAAACTATTGTTCATCAAAAGACTTTACCAAAAAAGTGAAAAGACAAGCTACATTCAGAAGTCATATATCTCACAGGAATCTAATAACCAAAATTTATATAAAACTTAGTAACAAAAAGACAAATAACCCAATCATAAGATGGGCAAAGGACTTGAATAAATCTTTCATAAAGAGGACATTCAAACGGCACCAAACACATGAAATGATGCTCAGTGTCATTAGCCATCACAGAGATGCAAATCAAAACCACCATGAGATACATTTTATTCCCACTAGGATGGCTAAGATTAAAAAAAGAAGAAAGAAATAACAAATGTTGGTGAAGATGTGGGGAAATTGGAATGCTTACGCATTGGTGGTAGAAATGCAGAATGATAGTCGTTGTGGAAAAGTGTGGTAGTACCTCAAAACACTAAAAATAGAACTACCATATGACCCAACAACTTCACTCCTAGGTATATACCCAGCAGACTTGAAAGCAGAGACTCAAACAGATACTTGCATACCAGTGTACATGGCATCACTATTTGCAATAGCCAAAAGATGGAAACAATCTAAATGCCTATCAACAGATGAATGGATAAACAAAATGTGGTACATACATACAATAGAATGCTACTCAGCCAGTAGGAGAAATGAAGTGTTGATACATGCTACTATATGGATGGAGCTGGAAGACATTAAGCTGAGTGAAATAAGTCAATCACAAAAGGACAAACGTTGTGTGACCTCACTTATACAAAAAGACACGAAAAGGCAAATGTATAGACAACAAAGTTTATTAGTGGTTACCAGGGGCAGGAGGATGGGGAAAGGAGGGGTTAACTGTGATAGAAATAATTGCATTGATTAAGGGCAGGGTTGCACAGCAGATTAATGTAATTGCTGTCAATAAACTGTACCCCTGTAAAAAGCTGAATTGGCAAAAGCTGTGTGATAAATATATTTACAACAATGACAAAAAAATATATAAATAAAAAGAGTAGCTACTGAGGCTGCTTATATACAACCAAGAACGTCATGGAATTTAGTTTCTTGGTTTGGAGGTTTAGGGTCATGGTTTCATGGGCCATCCTAGTTAAGTGGCCTAAAAACGTGTTTAGTGCCTCTGTTCTACCTCCTAGTTGGGTGAGTAGTGCCTAAGGTCTTAAAAGGTACAACATTTGGTCTCTATTCACCTGGAAGAATAGAGGAAGAGGGAGAGCTAGGAAGAGGAGGAAGATACAGCATGTGTGGCTAATTGCCTCCCTGAACAACTGCCTCCTTTGTCATGAGTCCAGAAAAACTGCATGGTGCCCAGCTACCATTACTGAACATTTTAATCAAAGATTCCATAGAAGAATCCTGATCAAAAAGGGGAAAACGTACAACAGAATTTCAAATTCTCATGGACTCCAGATGTCATGGTTTGAATTATGTCCCCCCAAAAAATGTGTGTATCAATTTGGCCGGGCCATGATTCCTGGTATTGTGTGGTTTTCCTGTATGTTGTAAATCCTGCCTCTATGATGTTAATGAGGGAGGATGGGTGGCAGTTGTGTTAGGAAGGCAGGACTCAGTCTACAAGATTGGACTGTATCCTGAGGCAATGTCTTGAGATATAACAGACAGAAGTGAGCAGAGAGACAGGGGGACCTCATACCATCAAGAAAGCAGTGCCGGGAGCAGAGCGCGTCCTTTGGACCAGGGTCCCTGCGCCGAGAAGCTCCTAGACTGGGGGAATACTGATGAGAAGGCCGAGACAGAGAAAGCCTTCCCCTGGAACTGACATCTTGAATTTGGACTTTTAGCCTACTTTACTATAAGGA